CAGACGGACAAAGAAGAGGCGGGTGGGGAATACGCTGCGGAGCACGGCGTCGTAGCGAGCCTTGAGCGTGCCTGATATGGCCAATCCACCATGCGCGCCCACAGGCACCAAAGCCACAAGGCTGGTGAGCAAGGCGATGGCGAGAGACGATGCGAGCAGCGCAGGTCTTGGGCGCGAGCTCCCCTTGCGCCTCGAAGCGGGCTTGATCGTTCTAAGCAGGGCGGGGATAGCGTACGAGGTGTGGACTGCGAAAGCGGCTATGAGCACGGTGTATGCGGTGGCCATGATGATTCTCACGCCGGTGTTAGGGCGCGAGAGTGTGTGCGCCACGAACGAATAGTCGAGCTCCGAAGGCGAGAGGCTCGATATCGGAGGTTTAGGTGTCGATGGGACGATTCGGTTGATCCATGCATGGTGCAGCACGAATGGCGCAAGCATGTAGCCCGACGCCTGGGCCACGCTCAGCTTTGCAGTGCGCTTGAGCGGCTCTTCGACCACCGTCGGCTCTTCCATCTTGACTTTGCGGAGGTCGTCCGCAGTTCGGGTTGGAGCAGCGGTGGTGAAGCGTGTGACGAGGCGTTTTGTGATACCGGCGAGCAGATGGGTTGCCAAAGCCGTCCAGAGCAGAGCCTCGCCTAGCGCGCTTTGGTAGGCAACACGACCGAGCAGCATCCATCGTGACACGGCATCGACGCGGTCGTTGACATCGCCACCCAGATGAAGTAGCCCAACGAGCGGCGCCGACAGATGCACCACGCCGAAAGCTGCCAGTGCAGCGGCCGATCCAGTCTGCACGCGCGTCAGCACCGACAGCACCCGCCGACGCGTGGCCGCCGGTACGCGGACTTCTTCAAGCCGCAGTCCAACTCGATGCAGCACCATCCCAGCCAAGTCGGTGCCACTTTGTCGCGGTTTTCAGGATCGCAAGAAGAAACGTGAGTGTATAGAGACTAGGATCACCGAGACCCCGCATGAATGACAAATACGCGTGCTCTGTGCGTCTGCCAGCCTCGCTGCCGCACGTTGCATTGGACATCAAAATCTCGAAAACACACCACATCGTTCCTTGGCCGCTGCACAGCCCAAGCGGGTCAAATGACTTGGATTCTCTGATGACATGGGGATGATCAATGTCCAGCGCGGATTGAGCGCCGGCCAGGGTGGTAAAACATTGCTTCCTGGCAGAGGCATTGACAGTAGGGGGCGGTGACCTTGGATCGAAATGCGGGTCGTTCTGACTCATGCAGAGGCGTACTGAGTGCGAAGATGCGAGGTAATGTGAGGGGTAGAGAGCATCAGCATCGATGTCAACGAGCATACCGGTCATTGTAATACGCACCTTCTTGGTGTACTCTTGGGCGGTCTTGTTGAACTTGGCGCGGTCGGTGTTGAAGAGTTCGGCTGTTGGAGTGTAAGGGGGGAGGGTCAAGGCAAGTCAGCAATGTAAGGCGGGCAAAGGACTTTTGCTCGCAGGGTACGTACCGATGGAGGCGACCAGCGCATCGTCCGGGTTCGGCTCCTCGAGGAGCTGGAGTATGGAGAGCAGGACTGAATGTAGGCGTGCAGGGCGGGCGCGAGAGAAGAAGCAAGCGGGTCAGACGTTCGCATTGGCTTGCAAACGAGCCAAAGAGGTTCCTTCGGAGCAAGGAAACTTACTGGTGACGGCCTTGGTGCTGGGCTTCCACGCCTCGCTCTTGATGATACCGACGCAAAGGTCTGCCAGGAGGAAAGAAAGCCACGCCTTTCCGTTAGCATACGCCCATTGCTTCGTCAGAACAGCAACGCTTCGGATACTCACTTCCTGCCTCGTCAATGTTGGGGTGGTAGATGCGTGTGCTGAAGCGCACTTTGGGCGACTTGAACGGGTACTCTATGGGGAAGTCGACATCGACGAGGAAGGTGCCTCCGGCGTATGGGCTCTCGGCGGGGCCTTGAAGCTTTGCGGTCCATTTGTAGATGTTGTCTTCCTTGGGCTCTACTGTGATACCTTGAACCGGCTCCTTGGTGAGGTCGCCGAGCTCCTTGGCGATGCGTTTGGACGAAGCCATTGGCGTGAATGGGTCTGGGACCGAGCTGTGTGTTGTTGGTTTGGTATGCTGTTTGCTACCTTGGTGCTAGGTCGATGTGATCGGCCACGATGAGGACGCTGGGAGCCTTGTGGATGCAATTCGACGCTCAGAAGGGGTTCAGAGAGCAACTTCGAGCAGAATGGCGGGGAGAGCGGATAGAGGCAAGAAGCAAGGTGCGGGCATGAAGATGCGGACTCGCGTGAGTTGGCTCCCGGGTCACAGCCGAGTGAACCTTCAGCCCTTTTCCGAGTCAGTAGGGCGGGCTGCAGACTGAAAGCGTGACTTGGGGAGGTCTGAGTGTTGTGTGGAGGCGTGTTGGTTTCGAATTTAGCTGTAGATCGGCTCGGTCTCACACTTAGAATGCTGGCAGCGCACGGCAACCTCGGAGGTCAACAAGCTGCTCTTTACGAAACAGCTGCTCGCAAGGAGGTAAATCTTGGGTGAGTCTGTGATGTCGAGAGCGTGGGAAGAGTCGAGAGATCGGATGAAATCTTTTAATAGAATGCTGCTGTGCAGGGCTGCCGAAGCGTGCAACGGAACTTCCGATGATATCACCCGTCGAATGCTGATTTCTGCTGCTGCCAAGACACGCAGAGAAGGGGCGAGGAGAAGCTGCCGCGACTTGGCACCCGACTTTTTACAGGAAGGAACCTCCACTTGACGGCCCCGCCTGCCTCGAGTTGCTGCAGAGTGGCCCCAGCGCGACGCACCTCCCCCCGCACCCAAACTGAGCTGCACGAAGAAAGACGCTGCTCTGCAACGAGCGAGTGTCGTGGCAGTGCATGTAAGCTGCAAAGGCCGAAGGGCCGCCTCACGTTGCATCTGAGCATGGCCAGCCTCCCCGACTATGCTCGCGTGGCGTCTGCCATCGAGAATGTGTTCGCCTGTACCAAAAGTTCTCAATGAAACCACGTCTTCACCCGTCGCTCCTTTGGCCCCGACCACCATCACCATTCGACAGCTGAACTTCGTCGATCATGTCGTCCCTCGGAACAGACCAGTCCTCCAAGGGCATCGAGCTTCTCAGCATTGCCGATGCTGTCGCAACCCAAGAGTACCACGGCGAAACCGTCGGTCTAGGCGCGGGCAAGCTGCAGGCTCTTCTCGTCAGCATCGAGCTGCACGACGCCGCCCAGCGTAGCCCGAGCGCCTCCACCAAGCAGCCCGACTACTCGACCGACCTCTGGCTCGTACTCTCGATCGGCGACGACTTTTCGCTACCCATTGCTGCCACCCAGACCATCGTCCCTCAGCGCACCGCTACGCAGACCTCCTACGAGCTTCCGTCGCCCGAGCTCGAAGGCGCATCCATCAAGATCAAGCTGCCACCCACCACCAGCTCGTCCGACATCACGCGTTTCCAGCAGATCCTTTCTCAGTATGCTGCCTACCAGGACGACGACCGCTCGGATGCAGGCATGATCGAGCTCATGGACGAGGACGGCAAGGTCCTCGGCGTCATGCAGGGCAACTTCACCGTGCGCGAGGCCGCCGCCATGTCCGACTCGGGCAACGAAAAGGCGCCCGTCCTCATCGACCTCCCTCCCGAGCCCACCAGCGACAGCGAAAAGCAGGACCTCGACGTCGACGTGCTCTCTGCCGACGAGAAGCGCGATTGGATGATTCGCGGCGCCGACGTAATCTCACGCACCATCATCAAGACTTCCGAATTCGTCGGAGGCAAGATCCAGGGCGCCGCCGACTCGTACATGGCCAAGAACCCCGCTGCAGGCTCGTCCGGCACCACCACCCCGAACAACGAAAAGGTGGACGACGGCAAGGCGCAGGTCGCAGGCAAAGACCCGGTTCGTGTCGGCCCCAAGACCCAGGCAAGCGTGCGTCAGCTCCACCAGTGGTCGGGACAGGCGGTGCAGGTATCGTCCAAGACCACCGGCGCCATCCTCCGCGTCGCCGGCAACGTTGGTGACAAGATCGGCCAGAAAACCGGCATCCAGCGCAAGGTGCACGCGGACGGAACCTACGGTCCTGCTCCCACCGGCATCCGTGGCTTCATCAACCGCTCGCTCATCGCCGCCAACACGGTGCTCGATGGCATCGACGCGGGCGCCCAGACGCTCCTCTACACCAGCGGTGAGGCGGCCTCCAACGTCGTCGGTCACAAGTACGGCGAAGATGCACGTCAGGTGGCCGAGGGCATCAGCCGCACGGGCAAAAATGTCTTCATCGTCTACAAGGACATCCGCGGCGTGCGTCGCAGCGCGCTCCTCAAGGCTGCCAGGTCGCGTGTCATGAAGGCCAAGCTCGACGACGGTCGCGAAGTCACCGTCCGCATCGACGAGAAGGGCAATGCGGTCGCAGACGCCGTCTCGCCCGCACCAGGCTCCTCGTCGACGACGGCCGAAAAGGCAACGGCTTCCATCTCGGACAAGTCGTCCTACACCACCGCCTCCTCCACTCCCACCCACGCTGCAGACCCGCCTTCGTACTCGACCACCTCTGCTGGCTCCACACTTCCTCCCCCGCCCTCGCATCCCTCCACCCGCCGCTCGCCGAGCCCAAAGAACTAGATCCCTGATTCGACTCGCCCGTCGTACGTCCTCGTGGAAGCTGCTTTGACCGTAGGAATCCATTCTGTTCACGCTGCAAACAGACACGGAGCCGCACTGGATTCCTTTCGATGTGATTCATTGTGCTATTGCTTGAGCGACCTACAAAAGGCGAGGCGGCCGCTGAGAAAATTCTTGATACAAGTGTATCTAAGGGGGAGAGCGTGTAGCTGTAAAGACGTGGAGTGGGCGAGGGATTGTGTGGAGTGATCAAACACATTGCAGCCGTCCAGCGGCAACGTGATGGAAGCCGGTAGAGGCCGATTAGAAGCAGAAGACCTGGTCATGGAGCTTGCTGACGGTACGAGGAGCCTCGTATCCGAGCTCGTCCAGGTGCTTCTTCATGGCGTTGATCATGGGCGGCGGGCCGCACATGAGAATCTTGATGTCGTCGGCAGGCTTGGGCATGTTCTTCTCAATAGCCTCCTTGGTGACAAAGCCCACGCCGCCCTTCCAGCCGGCGGGCGCCTCGTTGAGGAAGTAGTGCATGCGGAACTGGTCCTTGTGCTTGGCAGCAAGCTCGTCGAGCTCCTGCTTGAGCAGGATGTCCTCCTCCTTGACGTTGGCGTAGATAAAGTCGATCTGCGTCTTGTCGCTGGGGTTTTTGAGGACAGCACGGATGATCTGCAGGCAGGGCGTAAGTCCAGTGCCGCCGGCGATCATGCCGAGGTGGCGAGACAGGCCGGGCGTGTACTGCATCTGACCCTTGGGGCCCTTGACCGAGATGAGATCGCCGATCTTCATGGAGCCGATGTACTTGGAGATGTTACCCTGCTCGTACGACTTGACGACGAGGTCGAAGAATCCGTGGTCATCGTCCGACGATGTCGGGGTGTAGGAGCGCATGACGTTCTTGCCGTTGATGTTGGCCTGGATGGAGATGTGCTGTCCGATGGGGAGGCCGAGGATGTTGTTCTGGCGCGGCAGCTTGAAGCGGTAGAGCGCCGTGTTGGGCGAGAGCGTCTGCTTCTCCATCAGACGGTACTGCTGCCACTGGGTGGGGTTGAGCACCGGCTTGAGCTTCTGCGAGTCAAAGTAGAGCAGCGCTCCCACCGAGAGCACAAGGCCCACGATGAAAGCAACAACGACGTTGATCTCCATTGGGTTGGTGGCGGCGTCGTAGAACTGCAGCGGTTCAAAGTCGGGGAAGACGTACTTGGCCGTAAACTTGGTGGCGGCGAGGCAAACTCCAAATGTGACCAGGATGGAAGAGACAAGGACGACTTGTTCTACCAAGACCATGCAAACTGAAGGAACAGTGCGGTGGATAGGTGGTCCACGGCTGTGAAACTGCGTCGTTCGAAGAGGTAGTGGTGGTGGTGTGAGAGATTCAGATCGAGGCCCAGCCCTGCACCTCACTCTTCTGAATCTGGAGATGGGGAATTGGCCGCGGTTGCGGTAAAAATCGGCTGGCTGGTGCGGGCCTCTCCAGAAAGGCAAATGGCCTGCAGAACGCTGCCGCGAAGATTCATCGTCGTCATGGAGCCCAGCGGGCAATTTCCAAGGGGGCTTCCACCTGGCGCCTCTGCCCTGTGATAGCGTGCCTCGATTGGCTAAGGGAGAGAGGATTGATCTGGTGCGCCTCGTGGCCTCGTGAAAACGGCGTTCCGATCGGGCTGAATTGATTTTCGTTGCAGAGAAAAGCCTAGGTGTAACACTTTCAAAAATCCACCGCTCACCGTTGGAAACGAGCAGGCACGGGCCAGGCAGACGAAGCTCCTGCCACTTTTCGAGATCGATCTAGCACGCGAGTCGGTCTCACTTTTTGGCTCGTCTTGGACCCGTGTTGGCTCGGATCGGGATTCGGAAGTGCGGCGCAGCACATGTCACTTTGCACTCGGCATGGCTGTGCCGCTCAAATGAAAAGGTGGAGCGGAGGCAACAGACAGGAGGTGGGTCGAATGCAAGACCGTGGCGAGAAGCAGGGAAGGCAAACTCAACTCGCAGCGTGCCCAGCGGGGGAGGGCCAGCCAGCCACAGTGACCGGTGACTTGCTTGGATTAAGCTCCACCCCTATCTCGAGATATCGCACGACGTCCTCTTACAACCTCACCATCTCGGCTCGTGGTCAATCCTCGCCTCAGAGGCTTGGTGTCGCATCACTACAACCACAGTCGGAGCCATTGTCCTGCGCATCATCCTGACCTCACCTTATCTGCCCCGAACGCTCTCATCATGGACTCGCTCTCGTCGCTCGGTGCGGCTACGACGCGCAAGTCAGCCGAGCACATCTCGCGGGCCGCATCCAGCAACGGCTACTACTCGGACGGCACAGCGTCTTCGGCCGCCGACGTCTCGTCCTCGCTCCTCGAGACCTTCCGCACCCTCCTCACCGAGGTGGACAGCTACGTCACCTTCTACGAGGCACGCATCAAGCTCGAAGAAGACCATATCAAGAATCTCAAAGTTTCGCTCGAACGCCAGAAGGAGCTCGATGCCAAGGTCAACTCAAAGATCGTCGGCGACGTCGGCCTCATGGCGGACGCCCAACGCTATCCTGGGCTCAGGCGTGCTTGGCTAGAGATGCGTCAAAATGACCAGCGCGAGCTCGAGTCGAGGTCGTACATGGTCGAAAACTGCCGCCAAAGTGTCCTTCTGCCGCTCCTCGCCTTTCGGGACTCACAGGAACGCATCCGCAAGCGAGTCAAGGAGGACCTCCGCAACAGCCTGGCGCAGTACGACGAGATGCGCGGCGCCAACCTTCCCAAGATTCGACGTGCGTACGAAAAGAAGGCCGAGGAGGTGGAGCAGCTTCAGCTGCAGGCTCAAGCGGTAGAGGATCAACGCATCTTGCTCAGCACAAAAAGCACCGATCCACAATCCACGAACCACAGCCGGCTTCCATCTTCAGGCGACTTTGATCCCCTGGCAACCTCACCTCCAGCAACTTACTCGAGTGCCGGGGTCCTGATGCGCCGCAAGAGCAGCCGTCGTCATTCGCGTCGCCAGTCAAACGCATCGGCCAAGTCGCTCGGCGCCTCGGCGCGAGGGGCGGACAGCTCGGACGAGAGATCCACCTTAGGCTCTCCACCCACCACCGAGGCCACGCTGCCTTCCCTGTCCACTTCCCCGCCCAGCCCGAACCAGGAAAAGGCCAAGCCCAACTTCTTCGACGTCTTCAAGTCGCGTGAGGGCTGGGATGCAGCGCGCAAGGAGGCTCCCAAGAAGCTTGGCGCCCTGATCACGAGGATGCGCGAAGGCAGTCAAACCGGCCCCGGGGGATATGGGACGGGTGGCATGGGAGACGGAGGTGCGTCGACGCCGTCGATGAGTGAGACCCTTCTGGGAACCTTTGGTGGCGCCAGCAACAACCCTTACAAAGCCACGCAGACCCTTGCTGCCAAGCAAGCTCGCGTCAAACGCGAGATGGAGGACGCCGACAAGGCGTACCGCAAGGCCATCTTCGACCTCGAAACGCTGCGCCTTCGCAGGCTCCGGACGATCAAAGCCGCGGCAGCATCGGTGGTCGAGTGCCGCTCAGAATTGGCTCTCACCGCACAAGCAGTGTGGCTGCAGTCGGAACGCTCCATGATTGTGCTGCACAACAAGGGCAGCGGCCTCCACCAGAACAGCGAGGAGCACGTTCAAAGTGCACTGAGCCATTTTGACACCGAGCTCAAAGCGATGGAGGAGAATTTGCCGGGCATCAAGACGCTCGAAGACAAGAGAGTATCCTATGTCAATTACTGGCATGGCGAGCTCAAAAATCTCATCTTCGGCACGCCTTTGACCGACTACCCGCTCACGGTGCCTTACCGCCTAAGCGACACTGTCGCCCCGCCTCTGATCGTGACCAAGTGCATCGACTTTATCGAGAAAAACGCCATCGCGCTTCCCGGCATCTACCGCATTTCGGCCAAGCAGTCCAGCGTCAAGCAGCTCGCTGTGGCCATCGAGAAGGACGAGCTCGGCTTCCAATTTGATGCGGCCAAGGACGAGCCTGCGGCGGTGGCAGGCGTGTTCAAGGACTACCTGCGGCAACTACCGGAGCCGGTGCTGGCCATCCCCTGGGCCGAGCGCATCAAGTATACCCACGAGAGGCAGGAACACATCCGCACGGGCTTTGCCGTGCTCAAGGGCAAGATTCGCCGCCTGCCGCCCATTCACCAGATCACGCTCAAAGTGATTGTCCAGCACCTCAGCAAAGTCGCCCAGCACGCCGATCAGAACAAGATGACGGCGGCCAATCTCAGCGTCGTCTTTTCGCCGTGCCTCTTGTCCGAGGCGGATCACGAGACGACGAGCGTGGCGGCAGCAATGGAAGAAGACAAGACCATGGAGGATCTCATCCTGTACTGCAACGACATCTTTGACCTCAAGACGGCAGGTGCTCCCTTGTTGCCTCCGATCTCGTCGAGCCGCAACGGCGAGCTGGCCAGTGCGGGACAGAGTGCTGCAGATGCTGCGTTTGCGGCCTCGTCGCCGACGAGCGAGACTGGCGTCGACCTCCAGGCCCCTTCGCCATCAGATCTACCGATCGTCACTGGGAGCGCGAATTTGAAGCGGAGCAACGCCATCACACCTGCCACTGCGACCAGCACCGAAGGTGCGGGTATTATGTCTGGTCACTCGCACGCCAGGAGCACAAGTGGTGGCTCGCTAGCAGACCTCGACGCAAATGCACCGCACGACGGGCTCGAGAAGCTCGCGC